AAGATGTCTAGTAATTTCCTCATGGTCACACAGCTAAGAGTGATAGAAGCAGTCAGATTCCAGAGCCCTCTGTGTCATAATCATATAGTTAAGTCTACCAATGCATCACTCTGCTTTTTATTAGGTCATTAAATATGAAACATCCAATTTCGAATCAAAAGTTTAGTTTATTATATCTCAAATGGGAAGCAGTACAATTAATCAAAGTACGTGCCTAAACTATCAACACAGTGTTGCCATCTTAATGGTAGCTTGTTTATGCCAGCAGTGAAGAAGCCTGGAGAGCAAGTGGCAATGAAATCGAGAAAGGTGTTTTCCAAAGCTTGTTGAGAACTGAATATTTTTCCTTGCAAGAAGTGATCCAAAGCCTGGAAGAAGTGGTAGTCAGTTGATGCAAGGTCTGGTGAATATGGCAGATGACAGAGAGTTTCCAAGTCTAGCTTCTATAGTTTGAGCAGCATTGTTTGTGCGACATGTGGTCGAGCATTATCTTGCAAGAGGATTGGCCTGTCTCTATTGACCAATCTTGGCTGCTTAATCATAAGCATCCTCATCATATCATCCAATTGGTTGTTGTAGACATCTGCTGTAATTGATTGACCAGGTTTTATGAAGCTGTATTGGATAATACCAGCACTGGACCACCAAACACACACCATTAGCTTTTTTTGATGAATATTCAGTTTGGGGCAGTATTTCAGCACTTCATCTTTATCCAACCATTGTACCAAACACTTGCGATTGTCAAAAAGAATCCATTTTTCATCACATGTAACAATACAGTGTAGAAATGGTTCACCTTTGTGTCCTGACACCAAAGAAAGGCAAGTTTTGAGATGATTTCTCTTCCGATGCTTGATTAATTCATGCATTACTCATCTATCCAGCTTCTTTACCTTGCAGATTTATTTCAAATGATTCAATACTGTTGGAATAGTAACGTAAAACCTTGCTGCTAATTCACACTTAGGTTGAGATGGATTCATTTCCACTATAGCTTTCAGCTCATCATTATCCACCGTGGTCTCAGGTCACCCACCTAACTCATTTTCAAGATTAAAATAATCAGAACGGAACTTCTGGAACCATCAACATATTATACATGCATTAGCCACATCCTTCCCAAACACTTCGATGATATTTTGAGCTGTGTGTGCTGCATTGATTCCACAACGGAACTCATATTCAAAAATAACACGAATTTTTGACTTAGCCATGGTTTCACAAAAATTGCTCTAAAAAATTGTGAAAGATAATCACAAGCCAAAAGCCATGCATTTGAAAGAACGAGGATGTACCTTCACGAGAAAAATAAAACGAAAAGTGTCAAAATGAAAATGTCAGAGATATTAACTGTCAAACTGAGTACTTAAGGAGATCAGACATTTCGTACTTAATGACCCGATACATTCTCTAAGAAAAGTCCAAAGTGATTAGAACATACAAAAGCATTGAATTCAAACAGGGATGTTAAACTTTAATGAAAGCTACTTCAGAACTGAACACTGGTCAACTGCAGTTTACTAATTTATTTGTCTAAAAGTCTCATAGTAACATAAAGTAATTTTGGACTTGGTTTCTTTCAACTGTATCATATGAAAACATGCCAGTAATTTGAAAAAAGAAATGAGGAATATGAGAAGACTGTTTCTGGAACTAGGTCAAAGTAAAAGCAAAACATGGTTATTCATCTAAGTAAGAGGAGTTGAGAACAAAATGAGATAGGCTATCATCATTGCTCATTATCTGTCAGGCTGTGGTTTTTGGTGATGAACATTTGGCTGAAAATGAATGCATTTTTAATGTATTTTCCAGAGAACTTTACATGGTTCCACTGAAAAAAATCACAAGGAATCATGTGATCCAAACCTTGTTTGTTTTAAACTATGGTCTATAAGCAGGAACCGTTAGAATTAAACTATAAGGAATCTGTCCTAGAAACTGTAAATATAATAACAACCTACTTCCTATTCTTCTCTCAGCTTCCTTCTAAACGTTTTCGTGAAAGCTCAACCCAGAGTGTGAAGGAAATTTAAAGTTTATGTATTTTAAATGCCCATGAGGATCTTCAATGTCCTTTACACTTTTCCCACCAAAGTGTTCAGCCATCCTCTACCAGGATATACATCAGTTATAAGGAAACTTGCCATGCACCGAGGCAGTGCGGAGGACTGCACACACTCCTGTTGCTACATTGAACCTAAATCCTCTCTCTCTCTCTAGAACAGACTGCTCAATGGAGTATAATGAGAGTCATATATGTAACTTAAATTTTATATTGCTCACATTAAAAAGGTAAAAAGAAAAAGGTGAAATATATTTAATCCAAAATATCCCAAATGCTATCACTTCAATGTGCAATCAATATAAAAATTATTCATGAGATATCCTACAGTCTTTGGGCTAAGTCTTTGAAATCCAGAGTGTGTTGTACATTTACAGCTCATCTCCATTTGGACTTGCCATTTCATGCTCCATAGCCACATATGGCCCATAGCTACCTTGTTGGACAGCCCCAAGCTCAAGAGCTCGAGAGCATCAACTCATTAGTTCATTTTATCCTGTAGAGCCATGTAAAACTGATCTAATTCTTTTCCTATGTGACTCATTTTTAAGTAGTTTAGAAAATTATTGTGAGAGGCAATATACCTAGAGCTTAAAGGCTGTTCTAGTGGAGGTTTCCCTGGCACACAGCCCCTGAGACAGAGTTGTCTACACAGGAAGTTTGCAGGCAGGCACAACGCATTAAAGGGTGAAGAGGGAGGCGGCCAATCCCGGTGCAGTTGCTGACAGGTGTCAGCCAATCCGACGAGGAGTTGAAGCTGGGATCCCCTGGGGAATGTCTCAAATCCAGGAAAAGAGGCTGAGCCCTATGGACCGGTTATTGGATATGGGCTGCCTTGGAGAGGGGATATAGCCTTAGGTGAGACAGCAATATACCAGGGCTGTCTGGAAAGTATCCGGCCATTGTTAATGTAATGAGAACGGTTACATGGCTGGATACTTTCTGGATAGACCTTGTATAATTCTTCAAAATATCACCCTCAGCTACTTGTTGTTCCACCCAGTTCTCCTGCATCCAGTTGCTGTTTCTTTGAACTTGCCATAAGGGTGTGAGGACAGCCTCTGCCGAATAACCTGCTGAAGTTCTGCAAACTCCTTGTGGACTGAGTTTCCCCAAATCACCCTGTCCAAGAATGGCATTGGGCCTGTCCGAAGAGTTCTGAGTGATCCTCTGCTGCCACCTAGTGATCATTGCAAATCTTTTAGGCGCTTTTTTTTTTTTTTTTTTTTAATTTCAGCATGTTATGGGGGTACAGATGATTAGGTTACGTATGATGCCCTTACCCTCCCTCCCCCCCCAAGTCCGAGCTTCAAGTGTGTCCATTCCCCCGGAGGTGCGCATCGCACTCATTGTTTGTGCATATGCCCGTCCCCTCTTCCCCCCTCCCCCCTCCCCCTGCATCTAGTCTCATCTTGCCCAGAAGTGACTGCCATCTGCTTCTCTGGCATATGACTTACAAAGCTCACATTCATCCTCTTCACACAATTCAGAATGAGTCTTCCCAGATATAGACTTCCAGCACCCATTCCACATAATTTCTCAAACATAACTCATTACAGAGCAGTTAAAACCACTAGATTGAACGACATGAGATTGCCTTTGTAGTAATGGTCAGATATTGGCAAGAACATATGGTTTAACCCAACTTGGAATGCTGGATGGAATTCTTCAGAGCCTCCATACATCGGCCTGCTTCAGGACCCTTTTATCACACCAAATAAACCCAACAAACATTTATTGAATGTGCCTATTTTATGCCAGAATAATGAGACCTGGTCCCTTCAGGATGTTTTCCTTGTGGGGGTGGGGGTGGTGAGGTGGGGTGGTGGTGGTGGTGGGCACAGAACTAAACAAACAAACGTAATCAGTGCAAGAGAGGACAGGATGGAAGTACGCACAGAATAAGGGCACCTAGCTAAACTTGCAGGTGTTTGGAAAGCTATCAGGGGAAGGAAATAACAGAGGGGAGGAAAAGGCCAAAGGCATGGGGCTGAGAGGCACTGGTATATCAGGGAAACAGAAAGCCCTGTAATTTGGTGGATAGAACACAGGATATATGAGAAAGAGAGACACAGAAGATGACTCTGGGAGGTTATCAGGGTCCAGTTCATGGAGGGTCTGGTATGTCCTGGTGGAAAAATTTGCTTTTCTTGTGAGAAAGGAACCTTTGAAGGCCTTGAAAGCAGTGGAATGATGTGATTAGGTTTGCATTTGATAATCATGCGGAGACTAGATTGGAGGGATAAAACTTGTGGTGGTGAGATGAGTAACAGCCATCTACACAAGAAATAAAAGATACGGACTGAATTGTGGAGTGGCAATGGTGATAGAAAAGAAAGAACAAATTCAGGGAGGCAGAACTGAGTGGACATGATGAGTAGACTTAAATAGAACGGGTGAGTCAAGAATGATGGCACCATTCCCCAAACCATGCAAACTGAGAAAAGAAGCAGGTTTGGGGAGGAAAGTAAACATGCTCTTTCCTCCAAAACCTGCAGCAATGGTAACGTGACATAGTCAAGCTCTTCCGAAGTTTCTGTCTCTTCCAAGGTTTTTTTTTTTTGCAATGAATTTCAACTTATCAATCAGAATTGGACATGGAGTAGTAACTATCCAATTGTTTTTATATACCTTCTAGAAGAAGTGTCTGTCAGCTAAGTGTATAAAAAACTTCTCAGACCCTCCTTTTTACGCAAATGTATCTGCCAGCAAATGTCTGTGGAATCAAAGTTCATTGTCACTGTTATATCTTTTATGTTAATACCAGTGTAGTGTTATGATCTGCAGTGAGGACATACATCACTGTTGCTACCCTTGTTCTGGAAGTTCTGAGGTGTATTTCTACAACACCAATACTTTTGTTCCTCTCTCCTTTTAATCTTTACCTAAACACTGGGGAGGACCAGACTCATAATCCTTAGACATCCTATATCTTATTACTAATGCTTGATTGTAAAAGTGCCTTCCCAAAATTTTTAACAAGTCACCAACTTAAAAATCTCTAAAAATATCTTATCAAAAATATTCAGCTTATGATATATTTTTAAATCCCCACAGTAAGAAAATACATGAATTCCGTGTTTGCATTTTGAAGTCAGAGGTGAATCTCCTTCACCCTGTGAAAAACTTAGGGGCAAAAATCTATAGCAAAAGAGATTGGAAATCTACAGGAAGGTTATTTAAGAGTGATGTAAAATAGACAATCAACTTTGGTGATCACATTATCCATGCTACAACTATCTGACCAACGCTTTTCTGTTTCTGTTTAGACCGTTCTCATATCCAGGAATCGGCTCTCTGTGAGTCACACATGAAGTTTGACGAAGATCGTTGTGAGTGTGTCTGTAAAACACCATGTCCCAAGGATTTCATCCAGCACCCAAAGAACTGCAGTTGTCTTGAGTGCAAAGAAAGTCTGGAGAGCTGCTGCCAGAAGCACAAGCTATTTCACCCAGACACCTGCAGGTGAATGGCTTTTTCACTTTCACCTAGCCGGACTCATCGACATTTAATGTAAATGTCATTTTTATTCAGTGAGATTCCTTATTAAGCTAATTTTTTCTCAGTTCCCAAGCCCCTTTTTGATAGTAAAACAGAGGTTTGGCAACTAAGAAATAAATGAGAGCAAATAGAGTGATGAGTAATCTTGAAATTAAGAAAATCTTGCCTGCCATTGTGGGTTTATAGCTTGTAAGCAAAAACTAAATTGATGAAATTTAAACAATTATTTTGGGGAGCGGAAGTTTCAGGTCAGCAAACTCTTTGGTTCAGTCTCTCACTGTACATGTCTATATATGTTTATTTGGTTTTTCTTTGATGGAAGGGATGTCACTAGATTTATATAGCTAGGAGTTTATTGATGAATAGAACACTTGGAGGTTACTAATTGGACTTTAATAGATTTCGAATCATGTGGGATAACCATTCAGGATTTTATATTGACATTTTAAATACATGTCTGGAAAATTTCCCTTGAACACCTAATCAAAATCAGAACATAGTTATTCCTTTGAATTTAATCCTTGATTCTGAATTCTTATCTTTACTTTCTTTTGCAACAGCTGTGAGGACAGATGTCCTTTTCATACCAGACCATGCACAAATGGAAAACCAGTGTGTGCAAAGCATTGCCGCTTTCCAAAGGAAAAAAGGGCTTCCCAGGGGCCCCACAGCCAAGAAAATCCTTGATTCAGCTTTGTTCCAAATTCCCCATCCCTGTCACTTTCAACAGCATGCTGCTTTGCTGAGTTGCTGTCACTGTTTTTTTTTCCAGGTGTTAGAAAAAGTCCATTTTACATAGCACCACGGTGAATCCAAACTAGCCTTTCATTCACACCAGCTGAGGATTCCCTGGTTCATTGACAGATGTCTTCCAGCTGCAGATGCCTCTGCACAGCAAAGAATGGAGAGGAGGGGACCCACAGAACCCTTTTTTGTTGTCGTTGAATGAGAAAGATGTGCTGGTCATGGAATGACAGGTGCCATGTGATTGATTACTCAGAGCAGATGAGGAAAACTGTGTAGTCTGAGTCCTTTGCTAATTGCAACGCTCTTGTGGATTATTATGATTCTTTCTTATGCAGAATTTGATTTGTATGATCAGCACTGACTTTCCGATTACTGTCCAGCTTGTAGTTTTCCAGTTTAGTGAACTACTGTCCGATGTTTCATATTTAAGTGTATTTAAAGAAAATAAACACCATTATTCAAGCCATAGAATTTTATGTTACTATGTTATTTAATATGTTTCTACTTTGTATTTTTATGCTAAAGAAAAAATGTTTTAAAGAGAGAAAGGAATTTAAAAGTGAGAGGTGCAGGGAGAGACATGAACACAGCAAAACTAGACCTCAGTTTTGGGAAACAAAGGGAGTAGTTCTCAGAAGGTTTAAGATTATAAATGCGTTTGAGCAAATGGTGACCCAAGAATCAGCTGGCAATCACTCTGTGCTTTGAAATTAAATTGAACTTGACCTGACCCCCATCCCATGACAGAGGAGAGCCTACCCATGCCCTTGACATCTTCGAGGGTTTATGTTTCCTCTGGCTACTTCTGTATGTAAGTTTCTGCACTTGCTCAACTCTCAGTCCCATTGACATCTCAACTCTTATGGCAACATGACTCTTTTCTCTGCTCTAAAGCTACCCAGGAAGGGAGCACAAAGCCTTTTTCCTTTGCTTTTTCCCCA